AAGGAAAGGAACTGGCAGTTATTGTTCCTGCTGTGTTCCAGAGATTATAGCATGAAATATAAAATCTATCATCCTTCCCATTTTTAAGTATATGCTATATTCACATTATTGCAAAACAGATCTCTGGAACTTTTTTTACCTCCCGAAACTGAAATTTCCCTCTAAGCAACTCCTCTCTTCTTGCCCTCTTGGCTCCTAGAAGCAGCTATTGTATTTTCTGTCTCTATGAATTTGAATACTTAACTACCAATATGAAAGGTGTCACAAAGTATTTGTCATGATTTGACTAGTTTGTTCCACTAAGTCATGTGATCAAGTTCTCTCCATGCTGTACCATATGATAAAACGTCCTTCCTTTTAGACAGAGTAACAACCCAGTGTATGTGTGCACCACATTTGGTTTAGCCATCTCTCCATGGAGGGAAATGATTGATTCCGTCTCACAGCTGTTGAGAATAGTATTGCAACAAACTTTGTGTGACCAGAGTCAGGACAGAGACCTGACTCTAGAGGATCCAAAAGACTTAGGCCAATTACCCAGAACCATGGAATTCTAACAAAAGAAATAAATGATAGTAGAAACAGGAAAGTAATTTTTCAGTGAGATCACACTGGGAAGAGAGCAAGACTGGTGACTTCCTCACACTGTCTTCATGGTACTGACAATAGAAGAAAAAAAGAAAAGCTGGAGACCAAGAGGCATGCACAATCAAGCAGCCTTGCACAAACTATGGTTTGATTGATTGTCGCCTCAGCTCTGGCTGTGCTGGGTTTCCTGGCACTAGGGGAGATGATTGCCTGCCTACAAGGCTCATTGTTCCTGGAACTTGCAGTAAAAAGGAAAGGAGCAATAGCTGAAAAAGAATACGAGCCAGAGTGAAATAAAGTTGGCTGGGGCTATGACTACGTGGTCTTCCTTCAGCCTTAGGTCAATTACTGGAGACCTTTGGTGCTATCTCTGTGGTCTAGAGCAGGATACTGTAAAATCGGGTGGTCAGTGGTCCATTAGACATGATGTTCCTCTAAGTCAAGAAAGTACCCTACTCTTATCTTAGAGTCTTCAGACTCAAAATGGGAGGAAGGTAATTAGGTTAGTTTGGGGTGCTAATATTAGGAGTTTTAGACACCCCTTAAAAGATGAACTTTTCTGGGAATAGTTGGACAGAAAGATAAACAAGAGTCAACAAAGGCAAGAGGTCAAGTATAGAGGCAGAGATACCAAGTTTCATCCTGCTTGAGTTACTCATGGAACATCTGTGGACTCAAGAAAAGAATCAGTGAGTGCTCCTACCAAAAGAGCCTGTGAGTCCCTGTAGTGCTTTCAGCTCCAAGAAGTATGACCTAGGGTGTATTCCCAGACGATCACATGCAGTTTTCTGTTTTCAACTTTCTAAGGAGCTCCATAATATTTTATACAGTGATGGCACCATTGGGAAGTCCTGCCAAACCAGCTGTCTGTAAATGTTCATTTCCCCACATCCTTGTCAACACTTGTTATTTTCAGGGGCAGGGGTGGTTTCTTTGTTTGTTTGTTTTTGGTAAGTAGCCTTTCTATTCATTGTGCATGGTGGGAATTTTACAAGTAATCTCTTTGGGAAAACTCAATAAAGCTGGGGACACATATAAATACCTGTTTTATAGCAACAAAACTTTCACAAATCCATAGAACGTTTCTATGAGAAAAGAGACAGTTAACCCAGACTACCTGCTTCTGAATTTGATAATGATCATTTTCAGTTTCGCATAACCATTCAACCAATTGAATTACTTTGTTTGGGCTCCATTTATGAGACTTGTGGGCTCTATAGGACTTATTGGAGATGCTGAGTCCTCAGATCTGAGACCCTCCAATTTGGAAATCCCAGCATAGGGTGGAGACCATCCTTGTTAACTGGTGTTTCCGGTTTGAGCAAACATTGGCCAGAAATCTAAATTATAGTTCAAAATCTTTTTAGCGTTGCCAAACAGAAAACCTCTTTGAGGTTTCCAGGGTAACCGACTAGAGTAAATCTATGATTTTATGCTTTCTACCTTGGTTTTCAGGAATGTATTAGATTAGCTTGATCATAATAAGGCAGGAATGGTAGATCTCTGTGTGCTGGGAGGTTTGTGAAATGAGATTTATAAAAGTTTCTTCTGAACAAATAATCCCTGAAATCAGCCTCCCTAACAAGGGCAGTCTTTCCTAGATCTGCAGTTGTCTGAGCTATCTGAAGGATTTCCCTTCTTGTGAATATCCAAACGTCCACTTTTTGCCTTCCTTTACAGTGCACCTGTAATAAGCCTTGAGATGAAAGGAGAGAGATATGGAGGCAGACATGCAATCAACATTCCCCCATCAGCATGGCAGATTTCCCCCCAACACTCCCATCTACAAGCCCCCACCACCAAGACCCACATGTCCCCAGCCAGTGCTGCAGGGCCTTGTGAAGAAAATCGGGACGCTTTTCCTAAAATGGAGAACTCTGATTTTAATCTTAGTATGAAGAATAGAGGTTTGTGCCAGTTGTGTTGGCTAAATTATTCTCAATCAAGTACTCCTTGTATTGTTCCCCAAACAATACGAGAGAGAGAGAGAGAGAGAGAGAGAGAGAGAGAGAGAGAGAGAGAGGAAGATCTAGCTCTTCCCTCAGATGCAGAGACACCTTGTGGGAGACCAGGAGATGGTGGGAGTGCTGCGGTAGCCTTACAAAGGAGAATAAGAGAGAGAACCCTGAAGCTTCCTGGAGGAAAGAAAGACAATGTCTGAGAGTGAATGTGAACTATTACTTCCATAGAAATTATCGCCCCAGTATTTCTCTCATACTCTGAAGTTCCCCTCACCGTTCTGTCCGCCTTGTGCCAGAGTGCCCTCTGCAGGGCAATGAGACTCCGACCTGAAATCCCAAATCTTGCTTTGCCTGTTCCCTATGCCATGCCTAATAAAGCTAGGAGTGTGTGTGTGTGGGGGGGGGGGGGGTGCTGTAAAATACACACTTAAAATTGTTCAAATATGCTTCTAGCAGTTACTAGACACTCAGGCCTTAAGCTGAAAATATGTGTTGGCTGAAGCTACTCTCACAAATACGTTCCTTTATGTTTACAATCCTCGCAAATATCTTCCTTGCTTGTCCACTCTTAGAAAGGATGTACGAGCGAGCGAGCCAGCCCTCCCTGTACTCAGCACACACAGCGGTGCTCTGACAAGGCTAATGTAACACATCATGTAAATCAGAGGAGAAATAAGGGTGTCTGGATGCTTGCCCTCACCAGCCAGAACCATGAGCAAGTTTTGTTCCTCATAGTCACTCATCAGCATTGTGTTATGGTATCTGACACTTGGTTTGTCTTAACATAAACTCTGTGATAAAATTTGATCAATAGCCTCATTTTCCCTACTTCCAGCACAAACAGATACTCATTTCTTTTTTGAAGAAAGAGGACTGTAAATAAGCTTGACCCAACAGTTTTTACTTAACTCAACCTAATGCATGCTTACAGAAGGAACAGATCACCTGGTCTTTGATTTCATTTCTAGTACTCTTGCAAATTAGTAAATTACAGTCCTTCTGCTTCTTAGTAAACTCTTTATGCTTGCTTAGTTCTCAAAGGCAATTGACTTGCATTTAGTAAAAATCAAATATATTGATTTTCTGAAAACATACACTGCAAGACTAGAAGATGCTTGTATGCATATAACCTGTACTAAATATACAGAATATAAAATTACATATTCATTCCAGGCTTACAGTCCCCCCCCCCAAAGAAAGCCAAAGTTCCCATCACTTAAATAGACAGCATATGAAAACACCACTAATTGAATAGCTCTTGTAATTTTTTTTTTTCTGTTCTGTGGATGTGAATTTAGAAGTATTTATGGGACGGGTGAGCTTTACTTTGACAATTTCTTTGACAATTTTATATGTGTATATGATGTATTTTAAACATGGTTCCATTGTTATGTTTACTCCTTTCCTCCCTCTGAACTCCCTTTTCCTGACCAATCCCCCTCCTGTTTTCATCCCTTAAAAAAGAAAGAAAAAATGACTCCCTGGGTTTTGTTAGGGCTGTTTTCATAAGCATGGGCTAAGCGTAGGTGTAGGAGCAAGGGCAACTCACCATTGGCCCCATCACTGAAAGAACCCCATCCCCGGCAGCCCTTTAGCTTTCCATCTAGGGCTGGGACCTCCTGAGATCCTCCCCTATTCCTAATAGAATGTGTTGACAGCTCAAGCTTGTGTGGGTCTTGTGCAGGTAACCACAGCTACTGTAAGTTCTTGAGCAAAATGGCCATTATGTGAAGTCCTTCACAGTTTGCCCTTTATTTATCTCCCATAGCAATGGGAATATTTATCTCCCCAGTCACAACATAATATTTGCTTATGTCTCAAAGCTTAACCTACAGTTCCAGCTGCTGTTTAGACTTCCTACACAACTTCAAGCTTAAATAAAATTAGTAAATGAAATGTGCCTTTCTGTACTTATGCTTACAATTCTCAAACAAATCAAAAGCATTCAAAGGGTTGACCCCGTGTTTTTATTTAAGTATTGTTATTATTGAGCCATAATGTGTATAAGTACCCTATCAGTGTGGCAACCGTGTTCTTAGTAGCATCAATGGGATGGGATCGTGGTGTTCCGGAATCATAAACTCACAAATGTTCCTCATTCAGAGAATATAACATCAAAACTGAACTGAACTGAAACTGCAGTCATCGGACAAAATACTGATCTTAAGTTATGTTTCACATACCATCCTGGCATTTTGCTGGAGTATCAAGATAGTCCGAATTAGAAGGGTCAAGAGCAATTAGCATCTCTTCATCTCAGCCACTGTACTTCCTGCCGTGGCCATGACTCACAGCTTCAGAATTCATTGATGTTCAACAGCCATGCGGACTTGGAATTGTGTTTTTAAAATGGTTTTCAAAAACAATTCTACTGTCTTCCATATTGCTGCCTAATATTGTTATGGTAAAATGAAATTAAATCACAGCACTTTATCTTCTTTTCATTTCAAGGGAAGACGAGGGAAAACAGGACCCCCAGGTAACCCAGGACCTCCAGGACCACCGGTGAGTAAATAGACTGTGGTCATGTAGCAAAATAAACATACCTGCTGTGGTTAGGCTATCAGCAGTGCATCGATTGGTGTTGATTAATATTGATGACAAAGCAACAACAAAACCCACAAGAGGGTGTGAATTGAATTGGATAGGATGTTGATCTTTATTGCACTTTTTTTTTTTTTTGCAAAATAGAGAAGGCTTTCTAATTTTTTCAGTAATTACTTTGTGTTTTGAAGAAGAAAGTGATGGTGTGCTGACAGGCACAGAAGAAGCCTCTCTGTCATTTCTAAGCATCTGACAAGGCTTCAAGACAAGTGTCTCTGAGAAGGAACTTACATGATGAAGGCATGTGCACTTAGTGGGCCAAATGCCTGAGGAGGAAATGAATATGCTGGAGTGAGGTCCAACACTGATAGATACGCTTACTAAAGAGTTGAGAAGATGAAGGAATACGTGACCATGTGGAAGGATTTACAGTTCTCTGCTACATGACTTTGTATTTATTACTACAGTGTTGGGGGGAGGCATGTGCATATTTTAAGAATTAGCATTTAAACTTAGCTATGGTTCTGATTCAGAGCTCTCCTTAAATCTTGTATTTGAAGTAAAAATGGTTTATGAACTTTTTAATATAATAAAATAGCCAATTTGTTAGACTAAGAAAAAAAGTAAACAGTTATGTAGACTATAAATGGGTTTTATACATAGGTCAGCATTTGCTTAAGAAGAAAACATTGGGCTAAGTCATTGGTTTATTTCTGCTTGGTAATTGTGATTTAAGGAAACCAATTGCTCTGAATGACTGAAATAGTTCCTTTCATACAAACATCATCAAAACTTCCTCTTAGGTTACAGTCAGTTTTCTTCAGTTTGAGGTTGTTCCCATCATAGGATAAATTGACCTGTATCTACCCTACTTGGCATAGTTGGCAACATTGAAGAGTACAGTAATTAATTCCCCATGCTTTGGGCCCTGAACACTTAATTTTTCTAAATGAAAGATGCTCCCAAAAGACAACTTCTGTTTCCCAAATGATTAGAAATGAACAATGTTCTCCATAATGAATCTTTTCAAGGTCATCATAACTAACGTTTTCCAGTTGCACCAAAATCACATTGTTCAAGTGTTTCACAAACATTTATTTTAAATCGCACTAAGTGCTTAACTGGAGCTGGACTTGAAAACTGAAAAAAGACACTGTCTTTGCTTTTCATGAGACTCCAGTTCAGATGAGAGAAATGTGGGGTGAGGGAGAGAACTCAATGAAGATAACACAGCTGCTTTCCTGGGGGAATTTAGAGCAAAGAATAAAGACAGAGGCTTTAAGAGTAAAACAAACAGAAGTGGGAAAGGAGACACTTAGGTGCCCCCTGAGGACAGAAGAAAATGTGAGCAAACACCCAGAAGGCAAAACCGCTGGTGGGTAGAGGTGGGCTCCCTGCCACAGAACAGCTGAGGCACAGCCAGAGGCCAACAGAAATGAAGTCAAACCTTTGCAGGGTCCTGGCAAAACTCATGGAAAGCCATGAAAGTAAACAAAGGGCCTAACCTAGAAAAGGCCAGGGCCAGATTTGACTGATGGTCACTCTAGCAACACACTGAAAGCAGATTGCTGAGGGCAAGCAAGACTCACTGTAGCTATTTATTGCTCCTGAAGTCTCTGCAGGATGCTTGTTGCCTCTGCTTGGCTATTCCATGGAGCTATTTGTATTTTATTTCCATATAGAGTGAAAGGTGACTATGAGCAATCTAGTCTATTTTTAAATAGATTCTTTTTGTCTTTTCCAGAACTGTATCCTGCACTCCGAGAGCCCACTTTCATGACAGGGAGTAAGGCAGCTAAGAGAAAGGGTGGTAGGAGGCTAAAGTTCTTCTAGTTGAGATTTGCGATGTTGTGTGACTCATCCCAGTGGCCCAGACTGAGAAGTTCCCAAAGCAAGTATGAGAATGGCTTAGGACAAGTTCAAATATAGGAACAAAGCAAAGAAAATTTTAACTTCACCTCTTATCAAATAGTAATTGAGCAACCTATCCCTCAAATGAATGAATAGCTGAAATATAACATTATGTTTGAGCCATTGTTTTTTTTTTTAACTTTAGTCTACTTGATTATTAGAAAGGAACTAGGGACTGGGAGTCTTCAGGAGGCATTAAGCAAGCGTTTGATAATAGAGTACTCAAAGTCCTCAAGAGAACATCCTTCCTTTGGGGGTTTAGAATCCTTTGCTGAATCAAAGCAGTGTTGTTATTTAGGAGCGTGTCAATGAAGATGAAAGGAACCAGGACTGAGAGGACTAAGAGGGAAAATGTCTGATGGCCTGAAGCAACACAAAATAATTAAACTGCTTTAGCCCCTCCTTTACCTGTCGTTCTTTGTTCTGAGGCCAAACCGGTATTTTCTCACCTAAGAAATTTTTATGCCAAAAGACACATCATTTTCAAAGAACCATTTTCTCTAACTTTAGAGAAATGGCTAATGGCCTGTGTGTGTGTGTGTGTGTGTGTGTGTGTGTGTGTGTGTGTGTGTATGTGTGTGTAGGTGGGCATATGAACGCTTGCATGCAGGAGGGGGTGCATAGAAAGTGCTGTATCCACAAAGTCATTATAGCTAACATTTAAAGAAAATTAAATCTCCTAGGGAAAAAACAAAATTCTAGAAGAAGGTATTGCTTTGCTATTATTGTGATTAAATCACTCTGACTAAAGGCAGCTTGGGCAGGAAAGGGTATTTGACTTGCATGTCCAGGTCACAGACAAGGGAAGTCAGGGAATGCAATTTACTAATTCACTCCCTGGCTTGCAGAGACAACTTTCTTATACAGCCCAGACGTACCTGCCTAAGGATGGTGTCACCTACAGGGGGCTTGGATCCTCCCATATCAATCATCAATCAAGACAATCTCTCATAGACATGATCAAGGCCAATCTAAGTGAAGCAATTCTTCAGTTGAAGTTCCCCATTCCCAGGGGACAAAAACTAACCAGGACATCCACCAAATCTATTGAAGAATGCTACTAAGTTATAAGTCAACTGTATCAATGTCACATACATTGCTACAGATTAGCTCGCCACATTTCAATTTTATCATCAGGGAAAATTTATCTTTTCAGGGAAGGCTTATTTGTAGTTCATATGTGCAATGTGCAGTTGGTTGTCAGGGCTAGCTATGCTCATTTATGTTGAACATGTTTCTTAAAATGATTTTTCATAGTTTCCTGTCAAACAGCAGGCATATCTATACAAAGGTAAATGCTTCCAAATTTCCTAAATAACTTTTGCCAACTTGTCCTTTTATTTTTTGAGATTAATATATATTTTCCCTTCCCTTTTCTTCCTTCAAGCCCTCCCATAACCCCTTCCTGCTTTCTTTCAAACTCCTGCCCTTTCTTTGCATTCATTGTTGTTATATACACAAGAATATGTATATGTATATACATATAGATTCATGAATATAACCTGCTCAGTCCATAGAGTGTTGCTCACATATATATGAACGATGAGCATTTGGTATTCTTCCCTGGAGAAGGCTTTTTTTCAGCATTCTTCAGTAGCCTGTAGTTCTTTGTGTAGAGTTGAGGTCTTATGGTCTTTTCCTGTCCAACCTAACATGTTTATTCTTGATGTCCTTGTTCAGCTCATGTTTCAGCAGTCATATTGATGTGAATTTATGGATGTAGCTTCTGACATCTGGCAGATTAACAGTTTCACAGCAAACTCCCTGTTTCTCTGTCCTATATGGTCTTTCCAACTCCTCTTCAGAGATGATCCCTGAGCCTTAGTTATGGGAGTTGTAGCGTAGACATAGCAACTGGGACAGGACTCTGTAACCCTGCAGTTTGATTGGTTGTGGTTTTCTGTAATGGCTTCCATCTGTTGCAAAGTGAACTTTCCTTGACTACACTCATCAGATGATACTGGAAAGGATACCTGGTATCTGGCCGGGAGGAGAGGTTGGATTCAGTTGAGTGCTTGTTTTTTTACCATGCTGTCCATGTAGAGCCTGCAAAATCCAAGAACATGGTACAGCCATCTGGTACAGGCATTATTAAACAATAGCATAGTGGGGGTATCAGGGCTCCTTTCTTCCTCTTACAAAGACACTAATTGTGTCATGAGGACCTCACACTCATGGTCCCATCTGATACTAATTACATCCTCAAAATTCCCACCCACCTCCAAATACTATTAAATATGAATGTAGTGATTGAGTTTCCAATACATAAAATTTGGAGGGCTCAATAAACAATAACAGAAGGAAACCATTAAGTAGAGATACCGTAAATGAATAATACCATTTCCAGGGTCTTCTGGAATCCTGAGAACTACCTCAAGAAGTCAAAATTACCCTCATTTTGCAACAAGATGAGTGGTGCTTGAAAGCCACAAACACAGGAGTATAGGAGGGCCAACCAGAATTCAGATTTGCCCCCCAACCTACCTTCATTGTGCTTGAACACTTCTGGGTTGTGTTCTGATACAGATCAGCCTTACACACAGAAGCATTGACTTTTCTGTGATGAGTCATGGCACCCAACTCACAGGAAAGTAAGGTAGCATGGGGTGTGGAGGTGCCATCTCCAGCCCCATGTACCCCTTCCTGGGCAGTGCACCTGACACTGCTTTCTCTGTAAATATGAAACCATAGTGCCTGCCCCCACCTACTCCCCATGGTGGCTAGGAGGTCCAGCTGCTGTGTATGTACAGGAACTTTCTGCTGTATGTAAATAAATTCATTACTATTGCTCTGAATGTCATCCATTTGCCTTATAGGTAGAAAAGCATGTCCAAAACTACAATGGAACCAATGTGGTTTGTAGTTTCCCAAGATCTAGTTACCAAAAGTTTAGTATCTATCCTGGAATTGCTTAAATGATGAATACTTACCCTCCATACGTAAATCCACTCAACGAGACAGAGAAATTATTTCCAAGTCTCTATTATAGCGGAGACAAGGGATACAATGGTATTTTTTCTCCCGAAGCTTCACTTTCCTGCTTATGGAGC